ATTGAGAAGAATACTTTGAATTTCTGGTAGAATTCTGCACTGAAGCAGTCTGGACCTGGGCTTTTTTTGGTTGGGAGACTTTTGATTACTGCTTCTATTTCCATAGTTGTTATAGATTTATTTAAATTGCTTATTTTCTCTTGATTAAATTTTGGCAAGTGGCAGTTATCCAGAAAAGTGTCCATTTCCTTTAAATATTCAAATTTTGTGGAGTACAGGTTTTCAAAGTACGACCTGCTCAGGGTCCGTTTTTATGCCACTCCTTTTATTTCTGATTTGTTAATTTGAATGTTCACACTCCGCTGTTTGGTAGGTTTGGACAATGGTTTGTCTATCTTGTTGATTTTATTAAAGAATCGACTCTTTGTTGCATTGATTCTTTGTATTGTTTTCTTAGTTTCTAATTTATTGATTTCAGCCCTCAGTTTGATGTTTTTCTGGCATCTACTCCTCCTGGGGGAGTTTGCTTCTTTTTGTTCTAGAGCTTTCAGCTGTGCTGTTAGTTCTCTATTATAACAATTCTCCAGTTTCTTCATGTGTGCACTTAGTGCTATGATCTTCCCTAGTAGAACTGCTTTCAAACTGTCCCATATGTTAGGATATGACATGTCTTTATTCTTACTGAATTCAAGGAAGTCTTTAATTTCTTTTTTATTTCTTCTTTTACACAGGAATGGTGCATGTGTGCATTATTCTATTTCCATGAGTTTGTAGGGTTGCTGCAATTTCTGTTAATGTTGAATTCTAATTTTAATTCATGGTGGTCTGATAAGATGCATGGAGTTATTGCAACTTTTGTAACTGCTGAGGTTTGACTTGTTGCCAAGCATGTGGTCGATTATAGAGAAGTTTCCATGTGGTGGTGAGAAGAAGGTATAATCTTGTTTATGTAGATGGAATGTTCTATAGATGTCTGTTAATCGCAATTGGATCATAACTTCTATTAGACCCTTTGCTTCTTTTTAAAGTGTTTGTCTATTATTCCTGTCTCATGGTGAGAGTGTTGTTGCAGCAGGAGTGTATAGTGTGTTGGTTCCTGTCACTGGGATGGAAGATGCAGCAGTATACCCTATGCATACACATCTGTTCTAGTCCTAGTTCCATGGGTGGAGCAGGAAACTATGGTGGTATCTTGTATCCTGCCACCTCTACTTGGATGGAAGCCTCAGTGGCAGAACCCAGGTCCAGTCAGGTGGTCCGGAAATGGAACCTGGTTTACTTGGTCCAGTGGCTGGAGGAGGAGACTATGGTGCATTGGTTCCCAACACTAGGATGGAAGCCCCAGTGGTATACTCCAAGCAGAGGCACAGGCCTACATCCGTGGTTGGAGCTGGAGATTAGGCTGCTGGGGTCCCTTGCCATCTGCCTCTGCGATGGAAGCCAGCATGGCAGCCCCCAACCATCAGCTATCTTCTCTTATTTACAATGCAGAATGTTTATTACCATTTCTGGAATTAATCACACAAGGCATACAATTTTGTAATTCATTTTTATTTATGGACAACTGCAAGATAATCCTGTACTTTTTGTCTCATCAACATGTTTTACTTCCCCTCAAAATTTAGCACAAGGTAACAGGGTACCAAACTTTAATAATTTACTAACTCTATTTCAAAATTATTAGGATGCAGATAAGTGTACGATAAGTTAAACTGATGAGTATTCCTCCCATGCACCATTTTTCATATTGAGCAGAAGATTAGAAATTTGTGCTTCATGACTTCAGTCCACGGGTTTTTGACTGTACACCATAAATAAATTTCAAAGTTACCAGTTTAATGGCAATGCTTATGTATATCTCTATTGTTCTGCTCCATGTAACACAACAATAGCCTCAAGACAATTTCAACAATCTGTTATGTAGATCTCGATCATGAGCTAAGAGCTACTGTGGAATATAGAACCTCAACTTCAATGAAAAGGCATCTTTCTATGGGAAGAAATATCTTTAAAAATCAGTATTTATGCCAGGTGGTTTTGGCACACACCTTTAATCCCAGCACTCGGGAGGCAGAGGCAGGCGGATCTCTGTGAGTTCGAGGCCAGGCTGGACTGACAACCTCCAAAACAATACAGAGAAACCCTGTCTCGTAAAACCAAAAAAAAAAAAAGAATCAGTATTTTCATACCTAGTAATTTATAAAGAACCAGAGCTATAAAAATTTTGAATGTATATTTATTTTTGTATCTTTTGACCATTTCATATTATGTATTTTGATTATGCCTATGCCTTGATAAATGTTCCTAACTTTCATCTAGCTCATTTCTTGTTCTATTAAAACATGAAATAAATCTTTATTGAATCCTGTTTATGCTACCCAAATGTTCTTTGTTATGGAGAATCTGATGCATATGAACTAATTATTAGCAAAAGCCAAATACTTTTTTATATTTATTTTTAAATTTACATTTAGATTAGAAACAAGGTTGCTTCGCAAGTCAGTTCCAGGTCCTTCTCTGTTTCCCTTCCTCACGTGCTCACCCCCCAAACCTCCTAATGTCCCCTCATTTCCCCAGGGAGGGTGAGGCCCTCCATGGGGGTGTCCATAGTCTGTCATTTCATCCAGGGCAGGGCCTAGACCCTCCCCCAAGAGTTCAGGGTGAGAGTGCATTTCCCATTGTTGAATGGGAGTCCAAAGTCTATGTGTATATTCGGGATAAATACCGAATATTGCCCAAGGCCCAATAGATTACCTGGCCTTCTCACAGACACCCCCATTCAGGGGATCTTGATCAGTCCTATGCTGCATTCTCAGGCAGGCCACACTCTTAAATACAGAGGAATCTTCCTCTTTTTTGGTTTTTTTCAAGACAGGGTTTCTCCGTATTGTTTTGGAGGCTGTCATGGAACTTGCTCTGTAGACCATGCTGGTCTGGAACTCACAGAAATCCACCTGCCTCTGCCTCCTGAGTGTGGGAGTAAAGGAGTGTACCACCAAAGCCCAGCTGAATCTTCCTCTTATAACAGTAATGAAATAAATAGCTCGTTATGCAAGGGGAGTTATTACACAAATATTCCATACATGATATTTGATCGGGTCTAAGCTTTCCCAGGTAATATGTATGATGTCATACCTGAGAATTTATAAGTGCAAATGTGATCCAATATCTGTTATTGATTCTTCCTTTACAGTATTTCATTACATTTGACTTCCTATGTTGTTTCTGAAATTCTTCCATGAATTTTCCATGTTGAGATATTATAACTGTGCCCTCAAGCTGTCTGCCAAAAGTAACCCCACTTAAGGAATATACATATAAATAAAAAGGCATATATATGAACATATGGACATTACATATATATATATTATATAAATGAATAATATCTATGGATGTATATATTATGTGTTTATGTGCTATGTCCTTGTGTGTGTGTGTGTGTGTGTGTGTGTGTGTGTGTGAGAGAGAGAGAGAGAGAGGAAGATGTTGAGTGAAAGAGGGAGAGACAGAGAAAGAGAGATAGAGGGAGAGACAGACAGAGAGAGAGAGAGAGAGACGAGAGAGAGAGAGAGAGAGTTAATGCCCAAACAGATGTACACATGTATAATGGCACTTTTGTTTGTGGCAGTTTCATGAATATTTTTCATGTGTATTTAATAAGAGAGTTTCACTTACCCATACAATTTCCTTCTAATAAGTATACATAATAAAATTATTGGACCTAATTCTACATTGAAGCTGAAAAGATTACTGATTGTATTTTATGTAAAAATTAACCAGATCTTGAAACATAGATCCTCATTCTATATAATACATTTTGTGTTAACACATATCATATTTGTTTATTAAGGGATGGAACTATACATGTTGCTCATTCATTAGAAATTAGAAAACCAAAAGGAAATCAAAAATTCCATATGAAAGAAAGGAAATTACCGACCTTGAGGTATCTTAAAATTTTGTCCTGAGAAAAGTCATCTCAATGTGTCTCAATAGTGCCAGGAAGATGTAGAGAATTATATTTTATTCTGCTAAAGTGTATTTAAACCTTTGAGTTACTTTTAAGAAACGCAGGAGAAATTGACAGTGGAAATATAATATGTATAAATAAGTGTGCCTGAATTTCAAACAAAAGATGAATTTTCCAAACTAACAAGAGTTACATGTTATAGGACTCTTTTATTAGATTCTCTAGAAAAGTTCCAATATTTGTGACATTTCCTCAATAGTAATGACAAGTGTTCACCAGTGCACCTTTCAAATATTTGACAATGTAGTTATGATTATTCAGTAAAGATTCAACACAGAAGAAACAATATTTTAAACACAAAAATTATGAAGCTCAGAAAAATTTGAATCCTCACTTAAGAATTACACTTATGAAAATTATTTCAAAAGAAATTCTCCCTCTTTTATATATACATCTCCTGTGAGAATATAACATATGATGGGTATCCAAAATGAAGTCACTTTGTGCAATATAATGCAGTATTCAATTCAATTTTACCACAAATACACCAATAGAACAAAAGGAAGGGGAAATTCATAAGTGATAATGACATAGTATTAGTTTGATTAATATCACTATAAAGTAGATGGGTTTATAAGAAACTACCGAACATGTGATGACTTAAAAAAGGGACATCAATTTTCCTTAAAGTTGTGGACTCTGAAATTCTACACATGTTTCTGTAGATGCCTCCACAGCATAAATAGACTAGCGTAACTGAATAGACTCAGTGTGTATTAATATGTAAAAATCAAGATATAAAGAGCACATTGACTTGGGAAAGAATAGTGAGAGAAGTTTAGAGTAAAGCAGGAGAAATGAGGGCTGGGTTGTGTTCATACACCTGTATGTGCATATAAATAACAAGTGAAATATCTAACAAGGAAGACAGGTTGCATGAATTTGGAATTATTCCCTGCAGAATATTTATTACTTTGTTGCTAAGTAAAAAGGAAGGTAACAGGTAAAAAAGTCAAGTAACAGGGACTGTAAAATGACTTAGGACAAAAATGATCAACATTGAGTCATTATCACATTCATTTCTGAACAGATATGGATCACTGCAGGAAGTGTCCAGAAAGTCATTATGCAAACCCAGAGAGGACAATCTGCCTCGAGAAAGTTGTAAGTTTTCTTGACTATAACGAGCCCCTGGGGATGTCTCTCACAACTGTAGCTCTTTGCTTCTCTGTACTTTCAGCTACAGTTCTTGGACTATTTGTAAAGAACAGAGACACTCCAATTGTCAAGGCTAATAATAGAAGCCTCAGTTATACCTTGCTCATCACACTCATCATCTGTTTCCTCTGTACCTTTCTCTTCATTGGCTGTCTTACTACTACCTGCTGTATATTGCAGCAGATCTCTTTTGGAGGTGCTTTCACTGTGGCTCTTGCAACTGTGTTGGCCAAAGCTATCACAGTGGTTATTGCCTTCAAGGTCACTTTTCCAAACAGAATGATGAGGTGGTTAATGATATCAAAGGCCCCAAACTTTATCATTCCCATATGTACTATGAACTATCTTGTCCTCTGTGCAATCTGGCTAGGAACCTCTCCCCCCTTCCTTGACCAAGATGATCATTCTGAACACGAACTTACCATCATTATGTGCAACAAGGGCTCAGCTTTTGCCTTCCATGGTGTCCTGGGATACCTCTGCTCCTTGGCACTTGGGAGCTATACTATGGCTTTCTTGTCCCGGAATCTCCCAGACACATTCAATGAAGCCAAGTTCCTGTCATTCAGCATGCTGGTGTTCTTCTGTGTCTGGATCACATTTCTCCCTGTCTACCACAGCACCAAGGGGAAGGTCATGGTGGCTATGGAAGTATTCTCTATCTTGGCTTCTAGTGCAGCACTCCTTGGCTTCATTTTTGCTCCAAAATGCTACATTATCTTGAGAAGGCCACATATGAACACTCTTTGTCATATCAGGAATAGGCAATGTTCCAGAATGAATAACCTTCTCAAAACCTAGTTCATACTAGTCATAGTTCTTATTTAAGAGGTGAATTTGAAAGAATATTCCAGTTGATCTCTACTAGAGAATTGTGCTACACAATTATAGTATGGGTTTTATTTTGGAGCTATTAATTTTTCTTCCATTTGTTTGAGAACCTCTTAATAAGGGAGTTATTAAAGGCCTGAAATCCATATAACATTTTTGTACGAGTAGGACCTCATTGTTTTTCTGGACTTGTCCGAAAGCTTGCGAGAAGACCATGCTTTGAGCTCATCGAGATTTGCCTATATTTGCAACTGTTATTTTAAAGAATAAAGATGAACAACCGAAGGCCTGGATCATGATGGGAGTTTATATTCTTCTGTAATATAGAGTGTTAATATTCATTGTGTTGATTTAAAAAGCTTGAGATCTTAATGCACTCTCTCCTCCACTTGCAATAATCACATGTTTTAAATTGGGTAAAGTTTTATCTTTTAATCACTGCACTGAATTGTAGATTACAATTTTCTTTTTATTCAACTTTTAATATAACAGATTTTTACAAGAATATCTTGTTTTTCTTAAAACATCAATGCTCTTTACTAAATTATCATATTTCATTTGTGTTGTGTTATTATACAGAATACCAGATTTTCAAAATATAAATTTAATCTTTTATGAACATAATATTAATTCAATCCTTGAAAAATATGTTGCATCCTATGCTGTAATGTAGACTTCTAAGAGTTGTTTTTTATTACTCAATGCAAATGTAAATCAGAAAAAGTCATTCCTATATGGACCCCTTATTAAATTCCTGATGACATATATGACATTTACATCTGGTTTTCGTCTTGCTGATTACCCTCATTTATAGAAATTTAGAGATATTTTATCTGGGTGATTCTTCCAATTCTCTTGAAATCTTATGTATTGTCCATTTAAAGTCATGAATTTGTTACAACCTGCAATTTATTATTGCATGATAATCCAGAATTCATCATATTTTCATAAAAACTACTATATATTGATTGAAAGATTGTCAATTTTCACACAATTAAACAAAAGAACAATAAATTTTTGTACTGTGACTATAATTAATATTGTCCTTATTATTGTAACTCCTTTGCTTTTATGTGTATCTATTAGAGAAGGAACTTTCAAAAATAGTGTTGGTATTTGAATTTGAACATAATTCCTGACAACTGACTGGAAAGAGATTAATCATGTCTAGTTCTAGAAAACAAACATAATACTATGATCCACTGCAGTCTTGGATCTCAGAGGAGAAGCTTTAACTGTAAATTAAAAAAACTACACAATACTCCAAACAAGAGTAGAAATATACATATATAGTATAACCCAAATATCTTTTAATGAAGAGTAAGATATCCTAGCTTGTTGGCATGTCAAGCTATAATTATAATTGTTGCCGAGCTGAAGGAAATGTATCTTGACTTTTCATGAAGCCAGTCTGTAACTGAGGCTGTGAAGGGAAGGTTTTCTGTCTATCTACAACTCTTAATGGAAAGGTATCCGGACTTGTTGGGAAGTCAGGCTATACCTAGAGCTTTGAAGGGAAAATATCTTGGATAACTATCAGTGTGAGAGAAAACAACCTGACTTCACAGGAAGCCAGGATGTACCTGATGCTGGGGTCTGTTGGGGAAAGGTCTCAACACAGGATGTGGAAAACCTGATCAACTTTAACACAGGCATTGGTGCTGAGCTCTTCTCCACGCCCCTAAGACAGGTTCCTAGCATATATATTCATTTTCTCTCAAATCTGTTTCACCTGCCAAGGAAGAAATCATGCAGAAATGAAACAATATGCTCTGAATTGTTTAAAATTTTGTTACTTCTACTCTGCTCGCATAAGGGAGTTTCTCAGCAGAGATTCTGCCTCCTGTCTTTGAAAGAATGTCTCCACTAAAACCTTTTTCAAGACATTTATTTGGGAGGGATCAGTCCAGGAAAGGGGCTGCCTCTGTGTGCATAGAGAGGACAGCTGCCAACTGAACAGCTATAGAGCATTTATAGTGCATGTTGGTTAGGAGTTTTCCCAGGCTTGAGATTTTGAAGCAGGGAATTGATCAGATTCTGATACTCTTGATGATAGACATGGTCAAATTGACTATATTTCATTCTCAGGGCTCGTTCAATTTTCTTGTTCAGGGATTGGCTCGTTTTCCTGCTCAGGGATTGTTTAGTTTATGCACAGTTGGTCAGGAGAAGATTTGGCTCTGGTTTCAGGACTAAAGTATAAATATATCACGGACACTTTGTTTTTTGGCTGTATTCTAATGGTCAGCTTGGATTTCTTTCACTGACTATGGTTCCAGGAATAGGATGGCTTTCTTTCACTGCATTTGGTTTAAGGGTCAAGGTGAGTTTCTTTGCCTAGCCCCTCTATCATACATGGAACACAATTCCAAATGTTATGTTGACACTAAATACCCTCCTAAGGTTCAGGTTTCATTGACAAAGAAGAATCAGAAAGAATATAAGAGCCTGAGGACCATGGGTTTTACTATGAGATTATTTCTCTAAGGAATGTTATGCATTGTCCTTGAAAATGCATGAAATTGCACCAAGGTGACTTCATAAAATATGAGCTGGATGAACCAGGACCAAAATATGCATACTGGAGGGAATGGGAAAAATCTCATGAGACCTCAATATTATAAACATTACAGGGGGAAAAAGTAAGGCACATGGAGGAAGAAAAAGTATTCCATGGGCCAGAACATAATGTTCATGTATCATATGTTGTATATTATAATGGGAATTACATGCATACCTTATGTATATATCATATGTATACAAGTATTACTATATACATTTATATTCCAGAAATTAACTCAAAAACACCCTTATAAGTATTCATTCATGTATTAACAATTTTAAAAAACAGTCCAGGAGTTTACAAGAAGGAAAAATGGAAGAAAATGGAAGGGGATAATGATGTAATTACAAATAATATTTTCCATTAGTTGGCATTTAAAGTTGGTTTATCAATGCTGTACAATAAAGGAACTTCTGGAGGCATCACCATCTCTAATCTCAGGCTCTATTATACCATTACACTCCTGAAATCAGCTTGGCACAAAAATAGAAAGGTAGACCAAAGGAATCAAACTCAAAACCCCAATATTAAGACACACATATATGAACCCTTGATTATTGACAAAGAAGCTAAAATTATACAATGGAAAATATAAAGCATCTTCAAGAAATGGTGCTGGCATAACTACATACTGGAATTGACAAGACTGCAGTTAGACCAATGTCTATTAAAATTCACAAAACTTAAGTCCAAATGGAACAAAGAACTCAAAATAAATCTAGCAACACTGAACTTCTTAGAAGAGATAGTGGGAGGTACACTAGAACAAACTGGTACAGGAGATTGCTTCCTGAACATAACAGCCGTAGCACAAATACTGAAAATAACAATTGATAAATGGAACTCCTGATACTGAGAAGCTTCTGTAAGGCAAAGGATGGAGTCAATAAGACAAACAGCCACCCACAGAATGTCAAAAGCTATTTACTAAACCCACAACTGACAGAGAACTGATGTTATCCCCATTCCTCACTGTCTGTCATTTTCAAAGCCACATTGCCCTCAAAGGCCTCGTATGGATTTGCTAAACATCCATTTAAATACATCTTCCTTGTTATTTTGCCCAATTGCAATCAGGGCTACCTTGAGTCTTACACCATTGAGATGTGGGTAAGAAGAGGCTCAAACTTTTGCGGGAAATAATCACTAAATACCTGTGCTGACCCTCAATAGAAAATGCAATTACTTTTACATAATTTATGTGCTAAGCCTCTTGGTTTTCTACATGAAAGAGTAATAATAACCATGAAAATAGTGAAATTTATGTGGTCATGGTGGGAATACTCAGTTCACTGGTCTTCTAACTGCCCAGAAACAATGGTGTTAATTCATAAGATTAAATTTCTAAGATGTCTTGAAATAACTTCTGACACACACAGTCACAGAAAGCCATCCTACATGTAAAATGTATCATGACCCTCTAGATTGTTATAATGACATGAGGAAAGTCCTTATAGACATGCTTAATCAAGTTTTTCCTCAGTTATTTTTATGCTCAGGGACAAAAGTCACCATGACTGTTGTATTTCTACGATCATCAGCTTTGAATGTTATTTGTCCTATGTACATGAGCTGGAGATGAAACTTGGACTTTGTTGGTAATATATAAGGAAGGTAGCTTCTTGATAGTGACAAATGGAAGCATGGTGTGGAAAAAGTATGAAGTCCATAGTGAATGCACATTACTTACATAAGCATGATAATGTCATGTACCTCAATGCCTCAGGCACACAGGAAAGGCAAGCTCATCCCCTGTTTTTAAGATGGACATTGAATCTGTGTAGAAATTATCAGTCTGCACATTTTTATATAATTATTGTACATTGAGACTGTTATCCATAGAAGTCCCTTGTGAAAAGAAACTGTGCTCCTACTCTGAATTACATATAATAAATATGCTGAGGTTTGGGTTGCAGGTAACTCCATCAGATCACTTTTTCTCAGTGTTACTGTATCTGTGTTCATGGTTTCCCGCTTTCACCAACACATCAGTGAGATCAATCTCAACAATTTTTAGCCCATGGGTACAATGGGACTCAGGACAAATACTTTCACACAATATCCAACATACTGAAAAGAAAGTGGTATGCAGTGTGCTCAGATCAAAGAGACTGAGGTGGACATAGAGAGCAATGGATGAGGGGACAGGTATCATTGGGAGTCACAAAAAACTATTGTGGACTCTAAATACTTTGGTGTCAGAGAGAGATTATGTGTTTTCTTCAGAGTGGTAGTTGTTAAGGAACAATCAAAGAGTATACACCTCACTGAGAACTTTTGGGTGTCCACACCAGTCACTAAATTGTTTACCAGGTTCCCAGATTCAAGGTCAGAATGTTCCTGTGACTTGAGGAGTTGAAACCTACAGAACAATTTCATTGATATTTATATTTAAATTTGATTCATA